TATATATATATATAAAGCCCATTTTAAGTATAGTTTAAACAAACACTGAGACTAAAGGAACTCAAGAAGATGTCAAAGAAACTATGTGCTTTCTCAGACTTTCATTGGCTGTTAAAGATAGGGTAAAGGAGAATGATAGGTAGAAGAAGAAATAGTAGAATCCTGGACTTAGAGTGACAGAGACAGATCAATCCCAATTGTGCTACTTACTGGTATATAAACAGTCACTGTCCTTATTTGAGTCTCAGTGTTCACTGTAATTCATACCAGTCAGGGTTGTTGTGAATGTAATATTAGATAGTGCATTTAAGAATATCTTGGATGGTGGTAAAGCTCAGTGATAAGAGCACTAACCTGGCATGCATGAGGCTCTGGGTTCAATCCTCAGCATCAGAAAATAATAATGATAATAATAGTAATATCTTATGAGATGTGAAAGACTACAGAGAGCTAAGGAACACACCTTCTTCTAACCATCTATGACCTCTGAGTTGAAGGTGGTGTTCCCAGGGAGAGTACACCAGAAATTCTGTGCATGGACACGCAGTCAACCCACCTAATGATAAGAGCATGTTCTCTACAAGTGTGGATAAGAAATGAGGCCTTCCAAGTCATTGCAAACCCAATCAGGAATGAGTACTAGGGATTCAGTGTGCAAGGGGTAACTGAAAAACATAGTATGTTTACCTTTTTTTTAATTACAGTAGAAGACATATTGCCATGAATGCACCTCAAAGCCACTACCACTGCCACCCCAGTTGCCACTCAGAACATACATATTGCATTGTTCCGACCCCTTTCTGAAGCCGTTCTGGAAGTCCTCTTTATGTCTTAGGAGGTATGATTAAAAACACAGTGATTGCTACTGCTGAGTGAAATCCCAGGGAAAGTCGGGCTTATAAAAACATGACACCGTGTCCTTATCCACCTTATTCACCAGATCTGGCAACATGCAACTTCTAGTTCTTCCTCAAAGGCCATGAAAGGCAAACATTTTGAATCAATTCAGGACATCGAAGTAGCCATGACAACTCAGCTAAAGACACTCATCAAAAAAGACGTCCAGAGCTGCTTCACAAAGTAGCAAGAATGATAGGAGAAAGAGTGCTTGAAGCAAGGAAGAGTATTCTGAGGGAGATTAATGGCATGTCTTTCATAGTAGTAGATTTTTAAAAAGCATTGACCATATTTTCCAGTTCATACCTCATATTAACCAGACTATCCTCAGAGTTCTACCTCTGAAACACAGACAGGATTCTGCTCCTTTTCTGCTGAAAAATCCATCAGTGTTCCACACTGCTCTATGACAAAACCCCAACGTCACTGCCACGGCATGCAGACTCTCACCTCTGCCTCATTTGCTTGGCCAGAACTCATACATTCGGCAATAATCAGAATCTGTGGAAGTTCCTTCTTTCGCCTCTCTCTTCCTACACTGTATCTCCTACCTGCTGCTACCTCTGTTCTGGAAACTTCTGCTTTTCAGCCTCCCAAGGGTTCTCCTAAACTCTGCTGAGGTCCCTTTCATTGTGAAACCTTGCTCAGTGTCTCAGGCAGAGTCATTATATCCTTACCCACACCTGTTTTCCTCTGCCCACTATAATAAATTTCAGGTTATATTGTGGCGTATTTCTTTTTTTCTACTGACTGTGTGCTTATTGAGCTCACACTTGCTTCTGGATTATCAACCTGCTGTCTCATCCTGGAATATTTAAATTATTCAATAAGTGTTAAATGAGTGAATATAAATATTGATCTTCTTTGTTTCATGATCAAGAAAAATGACAATTAATAAAACATAATACATGGCAAATGTCCTGATATTATATATGTAAAATCCTTCCCAGAGGGAGGAAAGTTGTGGCCACCTCTCCCCTTGCCAACTCCTAGAAAATTCGATTCATGGTATGCAGTTACCCACAGGATCCGAGTCATCTCCAAGGCCTTGTTTGTTGAAAGTACAGCAATGCCCTTTGGGCATGACTTTCAGCTCAGAGAAGCAGGTCAAAGCCTCCAGGACCAGCCAAGCTCCCTAAATGGAGGTGGAGGTCATAGATGCAACATGAGGTATACAATAGTGCCACAGCCCTCAAATATCTTCTCATGGGCTTGTACAGACCAATACATTATTCATATATTTGGCTTACAGCATGCTATCGTCACTTAGCTGCAGCAGCCCAGAAGTAATAACAAAGGAAGCTGCCCTTAGTATTCATAGTCTCCTCTGGCGAAGAGGCCACAGGTTCCTTTGAGAGAGGAGGTGAGAACCTAAGCCAAGAAAATGCCATGTTGAACAAAGACAACCAGAGTCACAGGACAGGGTGGGACATTTCATGGTGAAGTTACATGCAGCTCCAGCTATCATGAGGGCAGTATCCGGTGAGGCAGGCACAGAGGCCAAAAGAAAAGGGAAGAGAAAACATAGCAGGGGATGGGGACAGAGGTAGAAGGAGAGATGTGCATTGAATAGGGTTTGCCTAACAAGCAAGCCAGTCCTGCTTCATGTCCCTAAGCAAATCTGCCACTGCTGCAGAGCTCTGTTTTCCCAGCCACAAAACAAGGGGCACCAGAACTGTGCCCTCTAAGTACCCTAGGGGTTCATTTCCATTTAAACATACCAGGCTTGACCCCAGACCCACTTACTCATACCCAAGGCCTGCTCTGGTGCCCAGCGGGTGGACTAACTCAGCTTTGCCACACTTTTCCACCAGCTGTGCACCTTCCCTCTAGGGTCTCTGGAGACCAAAGCCTGAGAGAGCAGAAAGTGAAGACTAGCCAACAGTTCCAGGCCGTGAACAGGAGGGGGCGCCAGGCTCCCTTCCCTGGGGAGGAAAAGGTATACCTAGAAGAGGAGAATGGAACTTTTGAGTAGATGCATCCCTTAGAGAGCTTCCCATTCAATACCTGCTTTTCACACAAGAGGAAACAGGGTCAGAGAGGGGAAGTAATTCATCAGGTCTTGATTCATGTGGCCTATGTGTTCCGCACCTTCATGAGGGATCTACTGTCTGCTTTAGTTGTATGTCTCTCTGTCATTCAGTCTCAATACCTCACAAACTATACTTCATTGTTTTATTATAGTGACATGATACAAACTCACCATGAAGTCTACAGGTTAGAATTCCTAGATCCTTATTCTAAGAAAAGCCCTGTGTTTAACCTGACCTCTTCTTTCATGGCCCACACCATTGGGTTGCTCACCATCCTGCATCTCAGGGCAGTGAAAATGTTAAGACCACACTGAAAACAGACCATATACGAAAGGTTATGCCAAATGGCATCACTGTTCAGCCTGGGTGAGAAAACACAAAGGGAGATGCACATGTCCCACTCTCACACATGAAGCATCGTTAGCATGGGGCTAGGAGCAGCAGGTCTCTGAGTCCTTTGGCAGCAACACAAAAGCAGGGTGCAAGTACTGGTGCCTTCCATGTCCCTCTTCAAGATCCAGGACTCAGATTGCAAGAGAAACATTGAGTTAAACTGCTGAGAACATGTCCATGCATTAACAAAGAACCAGCTGAAGGAGTCTGAAGACTTTAAAGGAGGCTAAAGGCCTTTTAATGAGGCTAAAGGCCTGTCCTCTCCTAATTGAGAATGGATTTATATACAGATACCACAGATGGGCAAGGGGTTGCATGTATGATTACTGTGAAGAAAGACAAAGACAAAAAAGCTTATCAAATATTGGTTCAGAGTTCTCAAAGCGGGGGTCCCCTAGTGATTTACTAGATAATGTAAATTCTATGGAATCAGAAAATCTTACGTGCCAGAAAGCCTCACAGGATATTGTGGGGCTTGCTGAATCTTTGGAACCACTTATTTGGAGATATTATTGGTTAAAGACAGGAGAGATGACTTTTAAATAACAATATAATATTTCTCTGAACTGAGTGAGGGATTCAATACAGGCCAGAGAAAAAGGTATTACTGAATCAGTAGGTGTAGGCTTCATGAGACCAGGAAGAGGTGATTCTGCTGTCATCTCTAAGCTTTTCTGCTTTAAAGAAAGGCCCCAAAAGGCAAGGTGGTTAACCAGTCTGCAGGAAATTGGAAGCTGGAGGTGAGTCAAATACATGTGTTTTGCATCTTCCAAGTGTCTCACATATCCTCCACCCCTCACCCCCGAAAAGCAGAATACCCGAGACCTGTGCCTAAGCCTCACCTTCCTCAGTGACTCGGAGCGGTATCAGCCGTGTGGTCTTCACCAAGGGTCTATGAGCCTCAAACTCAAACTCCCGGGACACGTTGCAGGTGTAGAGGCCAGAGTCATTCAGAGTGACATTGAGCACAGTGATGGACACATCTTGCAGGTCCTTGCTCCCATTCCACTGCAGGCGTCCCTGGAAGGGGCTCTCAACCTCCTGGTGGCCATTGCGATACTCGAAGATCTGCAGGTAGAGGAGCAGAAGCAGGTAGAACCAGGAGAGGAGAGAAAGGAAGAGATAGACAGGGAAGCCAGGGGACCCAGAATATGAGGGTGGGAAGAAGATGTACAGAGGAGACCAGGAAAGATAGCCATGTTGGAATAATGGACAGAGGCCAACAGGAATGAAAACATGGAGATACAGAAGGAGAAGAAGAAGAAAGGGACAGACAGGAAGACATCTGAGAGGAGGATAGAGTGCAGAGTGGAACGAATGGGAACAAAGGAAATTATACAGGAGACCAAAAGGGGAAAATGAGGGAAAGAAAGAGTGGTAAGGAGACAGAAGGGTAGTAGAGGGGAGAAATAAAGCTGCCAGCAAGAGAGCAGGAAAGGCAGTTTCCTTAGCAGTGATGACACCTGACAGCCATGTCCTTACTCTCTGAGCTGGTGTCCATCAAGGGTCTATGGGGCAGCCTGGGCCAAGCCATGGCAGGGAGTCTGCGACAGATCAGAAAGCTGCCAACTGAAAGGCATATGGCACGGCTCTAGGTTTGGGTTGAATTAGAACTGAAATCTGGTCTCTTAAGTTCCTTTCTCAGACACTTCCACCCTCTGACATGACACACTTTGGTTTCCCTCTACAGCTGTGCTATTCGTTCTACTAGTCACATGGGGTTATTTCAGTTCCAACACAAATTCCTAGAAGTTCAATCAAACTTCAGTTCCTCAGTTGCATCTTCTCTTCCATTGGGATAGACCTGGAAACAGTGCAGGCAGCTGGTATATGACCATGCCTGAGGCCTATGTGTCCCTGCACATCTTGCTAAGATATCCAGCTTCCTGCAAGCTGGGTAGGAGCCTCAGTTCAGCTTCACTGAGGTGTTGCTGTCAAGCCTCAGCCAGGCTCTGGGAAGTCTCTGCTGATCCTTATCTTGGCACCTGATTGGAATCAACCTAAATTAAAATGTCACATATAACCTAGAATTAGAAATGAGTTCTGCTTTCGGAAACTAGAAGGAAAAGCAAGCAGTATTCCACTTTACTTGCTGTTGTCTCCATGAAAACTCTTTGTGGAGGAGAAACATCCTCCCAGGCAGGCAAGGCAGAGCTGTAAAAAGGGCCCTGGATCTGGTGTCAGACAATCTGGCTCAAATCTAAGCTATTACTAATTTTACCTCTTTGAATCTCAGTTCTCCCCCTCTCTCCCTCCCTCTTCTCCCTCTCCCTCCCTCCCTCTCTCTCTCTCTCTCTCTCTCTCTCTGTCTCTCTCATATCTATCTATCTGTCTGTCTCTCTTTTCTAGCAAATACTTACCACAGTGTTTATTATATTCTAGGAACTATTTTAAATTCAATAAAAATAAGGACTCAGGGTCCTGGTAACAACCCTATAATTTATATCCTCATTTTGCAATGAGGAAATTAAAGCACCAAGAGGTGGGAAAATTTGCCCAAGGACACAGAGCCAAATAGTAGAGCAAAGACTCAACCCCAGGCAGCCTGACTCCAGAGTCAGTATCAATAACAGTCATCTCCAAAGTGGTTTTCTAAATATATAGCAACCACATCAGCACTGGCACAAACCAACCAGAACCGACAACATTGACCACGGCCCAGGTGCTGGGTCTGGGAGGCTCCTTGCTCTACCAGGAGCGAATCTCTAGTTTCCAGACACTGGAAAGGTCTGGGGATTCCTAGCAGGAAGAATGGTGCATGGTCACTTGGGAGGCAGGGCACAGCAAGTCTCCATTATGTAACCAGCTAAACAGTTCACCCACAGTCATGGCTGTGCTGAATGTATGAATTGAGTGCCAATCTTGGTCAACCCTGTCATTCTTATTTTGTTGGGATTGTGAGCTGAAAGAGTTAACCTGTGTTATTTCATATATTTCATATTTCATGTCCTTTCAATCTCTCCACTAATTTAATCCATCTCATAGGATGGTGTGGAAGATGAATGAATGTAAAACACCCAGTAGGGTGCCTAATCCTCAGTGGGCTTCTTGTACGGCCACTTTTTTGTCTTCCTTCCCCCACTTGTAACCAGGGGTTCCTGTAGCTGGCCATGTACCCTCCCCTGCATAGAAGCTGGGCTAAACTAGGGTTGTTAGTTATCTACTGAGGAGCTGTCAGTGCCTGCAAGACAAAGAGCCAGTGTGTGCTAGATTGTTACCCCCAAGACTGTCAGAAGCCAGACACCTGGCAGCACAGGCCAAAGAAAGGCCAGAGCCAGCAGTGTGACATACAAGGAAGTCTTTACCGCCCTCAGGCCTGTAGAACCATTCCACCACCGTAGTGGCCTCCACCTCCTCCCTCTTCATGCAGGAGATGCAGCGCAGCTTCATAGAGTTGCCCTGGACGGCCTCTGTCTCGGAGGGCACTTCCACACACACAGGGAAGCAGACGCTGACTGGAGAGGGAGAGAGGTCAGGGGAGGGACAGCAGGCAACGGGAAGAGGGGCAACCAGAGGGAAGGAGGGAGAGAAAACAGAGAAGGGAGAACCATGAGACAGCCTGGAAATAGACATGTTCATGTGTCTACACTCTCACCTGCGCTCCCCAAGCATACACGCTAAGAACAAGTACAGAGCAAGATGGAGGAGATGTGGATGGCCTAGCATTGACTGACAGCTTCTCCTGGAAGCAATGAAGCTACAGGACAAGAGAGAGGTGAGCCCTGCTCTTCCGGTCTTAGTCTAGATGGGAGGCAGGGCAAGTATCTAATTATCACCAGCACCATCAGTCAACAAACATTCACTGAAACCCACTCTATGCCAGGTGCAGTGCTAGACTGGAGATACAAAATTGCAGAGAACACTAACCACAACCCCAGGGCATTTATAACCCAGCGATAGACAATTATCTAACTATGATTAAACTAGACCTCATAGGGTGCTACACTAGTGATGTCTGTGTTTCCAAAGAGGCACGATTAGTTACTCCTTGTTAGACCTCAGAGAAAGGAATAGAATGCTCTGAGACCTGAGCCTAGAAAGGCAGACAGGACCCATACCAGGCCAGCCTCTGTGTGTCCTTGCCAGCATGAGGTGCCAAGTGCTCTGAAGCCATGCAGAGATATAGGCACAACCGAGTTTCATGGAAATGGGTGATTCTGATGCTTGGCAGAGGCAGCAGTGAGGAAAACGGTGAGCTTACACTTAGGATGAAGCGACACCCGATACAGAGTAAGGACAGACAAAGTTAAAACATCTGGAGAGGTCAGACTGTGGAACAGCTTGCCTGCGATGTGGAGGTTTGGACTTATACTTCCTGCCCTCTAGAATCTCCAAGTCTAAGTCTATTAAAGATGGCAAACATATCAGGCCACACATTCGGAATAAATCAAAACTAGGACACTGTTACCAACAAAATAAGCGCAAACGTGGGCTGCATTAACAGATGGATGGTGTACAGAAGGAAAAAGAGGAGTTCTGAAGTGTTCAGAACCAATCTGGACTGCCGTCATCAGTAGGGTGTCACATTTTACAAAAGGAAGTTGTTCGGTGAATGCCTGCCAAAAGGTGGGCAAGATGGCAAGGGGCTTGCAGATGGTGTGGTAAGGAATGAATGGACAGCTGTGGAGTGCTGAGCTTAGGCACAGAAATCTGTCCTCAAATATGTGAAGGGTGGCAAGTTGGAGAGAAATTTTATTATACCTAACTCCAAAAGTTATGAGAAGCCAGGCATGGCGCACATGCCTGTAATTCTAGCACTGTGGGAAGCTGGGGCAAAAGAATTGCAAGTTCTCTTCTGGTCAAGTCAGAGATTCAGTGAGACCCTGCCTCAAAATAATACACAAAAATAAAAAAGGGCTGGAGGTATAGATCAGCATGAATGCCCTGAGTTCAAACTCCAGAACCAAAAAGAAAAATAAAGTTTTGAGAAAAGCAGTTTAACACAATATAAAAAGGTTCCTTTCCCATTGTTGGGAAAATAAAAAAGGCTCAGGGATGTAGCTCAGTGGTAAAGCACTTGACTAACAAGCACAAGGCCCTGATCCAATCCCCAGTACTAATGGGGTTGAGGGACTGGGGCAGTGGTCAGACTGGGAGATGGTTTTGCTTGGGTGAAGGTAGTAGTAGAGCTACTAGGGTTTCAAAGGTAATCACTTGCAGGATGACAGTTAAAGGAAGGAAGGCAAAATCTAAGTAGTAAGGATGGTGCAGGTAGAACAGTCGTTTCATTGATAATAATCCTAAGTATCATAGATGAGTCCCACTACTTCCTTCCTTCCAGCCAAAGTCCAATTTCAAGGCATGAGAACTCGGCTCCCAAGGTCCTGCATAATACACAGTACATTGCAAAATGGCCACCCCGTTTGCTTGTCCTTTGCAATATGACTTATTGATCCTTTCATCAAGAGGCAAAGTCTGCAGGGCGGAGGGGGTGAAGGGAAGGCAGGGACAAGGGGCAAAAATGAGAACCAAGATCTGTCATGTAAGGGTACAAGATCCCAATGCTGAATGTAACTGTACTGTATACTTAAAAAGTACCAATAATCTCAATTAGATTAAAAAAAAAAAGAGGCAAAGTCTGTTTCTCCACCCCCAAGTCTCTGGCATGCCACTCTATGATGTCCTCTGCGTAGCTGAGAAAAAACTGTACATATGACAGGAGCTCAGCCCACATGCTAACTATAAAGGATAAACTCCCAGAATAAGGTTGGCCAAATCATTTGACCTTTAGATTCCTCTTCAGTTTCCATGGTAATAATGAAGAAACTTATAAAAAAAAAAGGACACAATATATTGATGATTATATTTAACTGAGGAGAACCAATTCTTCTACCAACTCCCA